GATAAAACATCATACGGGAAATTTTTGGGGCTATCCCTTCCCAGCTCGAAATTTTTGTATGGATTTCTTCTTTCCCAACTTTATTTTCTATATTTTGCTTGAACTCTTCCTTTATTGGTTTATTCGGTATTTTATATACTGTGGCAAGGGAATTAACTGATGAATTCGCGTCTTTGCTCAAAGGCGATGAATCATGATTGTTTCCTACTCCTAGTTTTGCCAATGCGTGGATTAAATCGCCAGCATCTATTAAGATTTTATTTGAGGGTTCAATGGATCTGATTTGCCCTGTGACCGGTTGCTTTGCTTGTTGGGTATTATACTTATGAGAATTTGCCGCGTAATTAATTTGAAATCGCGCAAGTCGCTCTTGACAGGTATATGACGTATGCCCTACGCGCTTGCAGAAATTGCATATTGGTCTATTATTCCATTTCCTTTCGTTGCGTTGCTGCTGTCCTCCCCTCCAGCTGTCATTTCTATTATTCCTATTTTGTCTATTAGGAATGTACCGCGTGTTTTGAGTGCTTAGCGGAGTAAAATTAGCATTCGGATAATTTCTTCTTAAAGTATTCTGATTTGGGAAAGATCTGGGAGGCATCGAGTAGCTTGAGCTTGGCATTGTAGGATTCGTAGCTAAAGCGTGAACCGTTTGTGTGAAAGGACTTTGTAGTTGAATTTGGCCTTTATCAGAAGCTAACATTGTTTCTAATTCCTCAGCTTGAGATTTTACCAGATCTAAGTCCTTAGCTTTCGAGAGCCCAACTAATCTAATTAGGAAACCAATGTTGGGTTTTACTCGATCTAAAAATTCCTCACAAATTTTTTCTTTCCTTTGGGTTTCGTCTAATGAGGAATTCACTACCTCTACTAATGGGGTGAGTCTTTTAAGGAATTCTGAGACGGTTTCCGTTTCCCTTTGTTTGCAACATGCTAATGTACGTTTAGTTATTTCCCTTCGCTGCGGCGAGTCTAATTTTGAGCGCAATGCTTTTAGTGCTGATTCTAGTGTACTAGTTTCTTGCTGCGTTAATTGTTTAAAGAGTTGCCTTGGGGTATCGGAAAGAGCTAATTTAAGTCTCGCAACTTTTTCAGGTTCGGTCCATGCTCGACCTGTTGCACCTACATAGTCGCAAAATTTTTCAGCCCATTTATCGTATGCTATAATGGATTCATCAGAAAATGTTTCAACATGACCTGAGTGTGAAGAAATCATGTTTATAGATTCTTTTTGAGTTTCATCAAGATTGGAGTCTGCTAACAGACTATTGTTTGGCCCTAAAGTATCGCTTTTAAGAGCTTCTAATCTTTCTACATTTTCCGATAGTGAAATTATTTGGGTACTAAGGGTTTTTATGTTGAGGTTTACGTCTTTAGCCATTGTATTAATCTTTTCATAATTGGTGTTAGCTTTCCTATTAATGAGTCTTAATGCCCTATTTACCCCTTCTTCTAGCTTAATTACATCTGAATGACACTTTTCTAAATCTTTAACCTTAACAGTTTCTTTGGCTGCCCAAAATTGTTTTTCAATAGCATTTATATTTATTTCGTCTTCAGAAGACATTTTCAAGATTTGAGTCTGCTAACAGACTATAAAATAATATTAAAAATAGAAAGTATGCTAATATATAATTGAAATATTTTAGCGCAGGTTCCAATAATTCGCAATTGCTTTTATAATAATGAACTTTTATTAAAGCAGTAAGAGCGTGTTTATTTAAGTGTTGAAAGTTAATAGCTTGTTTAAAATAAAATGATCGAAATTATGAAAAGCTGATTCCTTATAAATAATATTACAACACTACTTCGCTTGCTCTGGTGTAATAATAGTTTGTTAATTTCTCAGAGCTTTTTCTTTTATGGGCAAAGATTTTCTTCTTTATCGTTATCCTACTGAGAAAATATCTTTGTGTGCCCAAAGGGCACTTAAAATCCATTTTATTTCATTAATTAATATTTTAACTTTTATTTATTTCCCCGCTCAAAACACAATTTTTTACATTCTTGTTTTCTCTCTTAAAATCTATTTGTTTCCGCCCATTTTTTACCCCTATATAATGTTTTAGCCTATTCTCCTTAATCACTTGCTACTTCACCATTCACTTGTTTTTACTTGTTGTTTTACATTTGCTTATTCTCACTTCTGTTATTGCCAGCGCTCTCTGAGCTCTGCCAATTAATTATTACCAACTTTTGACTTGCCCCTATTTTAATCTATTTGAGACCACAAGGGCCTGCTTTGTTGACCGGCAGCCCAAACTTGTGCTCGGCTTATATTCCCCCGAGGCACTTCATTTATAATCTTATTTTAACTAAATAAATATTTTTAATTGTGTTTCTGTGTTTGTGTGTTTTACTAAGGAGTTTGTTTTTTGGAGATTGGAAATCTCCGTTGCCCGTCAAAACTAAGGAGTCGATTCGTTCTGGTCGAATCTCTCCTGTCCCTCCTCAAATTGAGTCAGCGAGGTATTGTGCCCTACTACCCTTTCCGCACACTTTGTAATAAAGGATTGCTTCCTGTAAAAAATTTTGTTTATGAGAAAAATATTTCAACTTATCGTTTTTCTTTAAAAAATCTTAAACTAAAGAATATGTGTAATAATATGAGCAATAACTATAAGTGAACAAAGAATAAAGTATAGATAAAAAATCTAAGATAATTGCTCAAAAAATATCGAATATAGAATCTTATAATTAAGTATTTATAAAATTTAATAAATAATGAACTATGATAAATTATTTAACTCAGAATAAAAGTTTAGTAATTGTTCCTAACTTAATTTAATTTTAGCAAAAATGAACTCATTAGTGGAACTATAGTAATTTTATTGAAAATATCTTATATATTTTTGTCTTAATTTCAAGATTTAGGACTGCAAACAGACTATTAAACTCAATATTAATTTCTATTTATCTCAATATTAATTTCTATCTTAATTTTATTTGTCTCTATATGAATTTCTCTTTAAATACTGTTATAAGTAAAAAAAAATTTTTTTTTATTAATAACTGATTAAGCTTTTTAATGAATATAACAGCTAATTCCTTATGTAATTGACTTAAATTATATGTATTACTGTTTCAGATTTTAGAGTAAATTGAACGAGATTAGATTTCTTAATAGAATTATAGCTATTTACAAAAATTAATTATTAATATTCAAGATTTGTGTCTGCTAACAGACTATGTCCCTCTATATTTATATAGCGCCAAAAATTGAAATATTTATTTTTTTTTAACTAAATTTTCCCTCTATATATGAAAAGCGCTAAAATTGTTCAATTAACTTGAATTGTTCAATTAACTTTCTGCTAGTTTCAATTAAAGCATCAATGTTTTTTTGTTTTCTTGTAGCCGCAGGTAATTTTTTGATGCAATTTGCATGTTTGTATTGGCCATTCTTTAAATTGTTGTCAACACAAAACAAAACATTTTTGGCTGCAGTTTCCTTAAAAATAAAATTTTTAAAAATTAAAAATCAATTTTATTATTCCAATTAATTGAATATTTTAAATTATAAAATAGAAAAATATTTTTAAAAAATTATTTTTTGGCTGAAAAATGGGTGTATAGCGAAAATTAAATTTAATTCAAAATATTGTGTTTTAATCTAACTATTTAGTTATTTATTTTAATTACTCTAATATTAAGGTAAAAATTTATTTATTTGCTGTACTTTTAAAAATATTAAACAAAAATATATTTTAATTTATTTTTTCTTAAAAAATATTTTTATTTTGTGTTTTTATTTTATTTATTTTTTCTCAATGATAAATAATTCCAAAAAAATTGTTTGCCAAAAAGTTTCTAGAAAAGGACACCTTTCAAGTTTAAAAATATTAAAAAAACTTGAATTTAATTAAATTGACTAAAATTACTTTAAAAAAGGGAAGGAGAGGAGAGATCTTTTGACCAAAACCCCCAAGTTTTTACACAATTTTCTCTCCCCTTATTTTGTTTGTTTAACCAACAAAATAAAGTAATGAATGAACTTGTGAATAATTTTTATTTTTTATGTTTTGCACTTTCTGAGAGAGAGAGAGAGAAAAAAGGGGAATTGGAAATTCTTGTAGTTTAATTTTTATAAAAACACAAAAAAAAGTAAAATAAAGTTTAAAATTTTCTTTAAACAAATTTTCTATTTAAATTTTCTTTTTGCACTTTTTAAAAGGCAAATAAAAACGTTTATTTATTTTGATTTTGGAAAGGTTTTCTGATAATAAAAAAATATTTTTTTATTGAAAAATTTTGGCTAAAATAATTTTGCATTGATTTGATTAGAAAATTTAATATTTTTTGTTTAAAATAAACACAATTAATTGGTTAATTATTTTACAAAAAATTTTATTTTTGTTTACTTACCGGTTCAATCAGCAAACGTCTCAGGAAGAAAAGCATTTTTCTCGTTCCTTTATGACAAACATTGTCAGACATTTGTGTTCTAACAGCTCCTGGATGAACTGCAAAAGCTTTTACAGAATCGCCATAAAAATTGTTTAGATGGTGGGCAAGCATTGCCGTCGCAAATTTACTTAAAGCATATGCCTTCCAACGTTTGGCGTTTTGAAACATTTCTGGCCATTTCTCAACATTTTTTTCCAACGGGAATATATTACCAACAAGTCTTTAAATTAAAATTATTTTTTAAAAATTATTTTAAAGAAAGAAATTACCTTTGTATAACAGAAGTTAAAGTAATTACTCGAAGAGAATGGTTAGGGCATTGATGTTTAACAATACCATCGATAAGTAGAAAATGACCGAGAAAATTAACTTGGAAAGTTGGCTCAAACCCGTCGTTAGTACTTTTCTCTTTTGGAAGTAAAACACCGGCATTGAGAATAATTATGTCGAAAATACTGAAAATAATTAATTTTTAAATTTAAGGGAAAAGGAGAATGTTTCAAATAATTAATTTTTAAATAATTTTTTAGTTTAATTTTTATTTTAATTTTTCTTCTAATTAATTTTTAACTAATTAATTATTCTATTTAAATTTACATTTTTTCTTTTTTAATTCTTTCCATCAGAATTTCAACATTCCTCAAAGAGGACAAATCCAGAGAAAGCCAAGAGAATTTACTTTTAAAATTATTAGATTGTTCAGCTCTTTCCTTAAGTTGTTTCAATGCTGTCTCAGCTCTTCTCTGATTTCTACAAGCTATTGTTATATCATAACAACCTCTACTAGCTAATAATAAAGCTGTTTGTAGCCCTAAAAAAATAAAAATATTTTTCTCAAAAATTCTTCTTTTCTCTCTCTCTCTCACCAATTCCCTGATTTCCTCCAGTTATCATTACATGTTTGTTTTTGTTGATTGAGTTATTCTTTTCAATATTCTCTTCAATGTTTTTAGCGACGATTAAATTATTTTGTCGGCACATTTTTTTAATTAATTATTTTTTTATTATTAATTATTATTAATATATAACTGTAAAAATTAATTAATTTAATTAATTTAAATTGTTTTTAAAAAATATTAAATGGGTGTTTTGTTAAATTTGCGCGTTTAACTAATTCCTTTTAAACGTTCCGATAAAAGGCGACATTCCAGCTTTTTTTTGCCCCGCCCCTTTTGCTTTTTTAGGTAATTGCATATAAATAAATTAACCACGTTGCAAGACGTAATAATATAATAGAAAAGGCGTGGAATTATCTACTATTTAATAGTAGATAAAAATATTTTAAAAATAATTATTGAAATAACCAATTCTGTCAGAGCAATTTTTGTAGTTCCAAATAAAGGATATAAAACACCATATTTTAATAAAGGGCAATCAAATAAAAAATTTTATTATGTTGGGAAATCAAATTTTAGGGATGGAAATACAGAAATAAATATTGAAGAAGATTTTGATAATAATTATAGAGAGGGAATTGTTATTTGTGGAAGATTAATAAATAAAAGAAATTTTGTGGTAATTTGGAAATTAAAATAAAATTAAGTAAATATAAATAAATTAATATTTTCTGATAAATATGTAGAGGTTTAATGAAATAATAATAATAAATTGGGCACAACTAAAACATAACAGGATTCTCGATTTAGGGAAATCGGGATCCCGACGCAAAAAATCGTCGAGAATTCCCGATTTTCGGGAATTGGGAGGCAGAATTCCTGATACATACACGTGTCCGCAAAAGGCACACATGTCCGCAAAAGGCACACATGTCCGCAAAAGGCATTTTTGCTTAATTCACTCCTTTTCTTCTCTCTCAAATGATTGGTTGACAGTTTGGCGCAGCAAAAGGAAGGAGCACAGGATTTCAACAGAAGCAAGGAGTGCTATTAGATTTTGAATTTAAAAATTAAAATATAAACAATACACAGTTAAATATTATTCAAAATTAAATAAATATACCTATATCCATAATTAAATATTCAAAATAAAAGAAAAATGACCAAAAATGGCCACCTCTATTTGAATGACAATCAAATTGAATGAAATTTTTTGGGGTATTGAAAAATAGAATGGCGGCCATTCAATTAAAATAAATACTGCATATTAGTTTTTTAATCCAAAATCTAATACACTCTCTGTTTCAGTTGAAATCCTGTGCTTCTTCCTTTTGCTGCGCCAAGCTGTCAACCAATCATTTTAAAGAGAAGAAAAGGAGTGAATTCAGCAAAAAAAGCCTTTTTGCAAAATGCCTTTTGCGGACATGTGTACAGCGAGATGGACATTTACCAAATATAAATAACTAACTCTATGAGAGAATTATAATTTTATAGAAAAATTAATAAATTCAGTAATTGTGTAAATTCCTTAGTAATAAATTAATAATTAATTGTTTTGTAAAATTAAAAAAAATTATTTTTCTAAATTTATTATATGTTAATGTCAAATTAACAAAAAGAAATTCAGAAAATCAATTTGTATTTTATTTCCTTATTTGTTTAGCTGTATAAGAAAATACTGGATGTTTGGAAGTTTATTCTAAATTATAAATTATTTTTTAAAATAAATTCAAAAAATGTTTTTAAATATATTTATTAGGCATATTTAATATTTAATTTTATTTAATATTATTTTTTATTAATGACAATTATGTCAATGTTTAGATATGTATAAGTTCTTAAATACATTAAAATGAAAAAAAATTCTTCGATCTTTATTACCGGCATCAATATCATCGATATTTTTGATATTCTTAATTTTTGTCTTTAGAACTTGTAATCTATTTAAAAATCATTTTTTCAACAATTAATCTAATGTTCTTTAGCTTAAAGGATTTATCATGTTTATAACGTATTAGGCTCAAGTTTAGTTTGTCTGCCGAATATTTTTTCTAACTACCTAATCCAGCCTCCTCCCCTTTTCCTCATTTTTTCCATAACCCAATACGAAACTTGACCTGTGCGAGAGTGTGCATATTTTTTTATTATGCAAAATTTTTGATTGGGGTATTTCATTTTTTAATTTTTAAAGATCATGTGCATTCTCTAAAAAGACCAAAAATCGTTATAAATAAAATTTCAATATTTCTATAATTATAGCAAAAAATTTTATTGAGGGATTATCCTTTCAAATTGTATAATAATAGCACTAGTTGTGTCTAAAATCGGATTTATTTTAAATTGGCAAAATTCTTTTACCGTTACCAAACTTTTTATTGAAATTTCTACTCTTTATTCCAAAAATACGAAAAAATCTCGATATAAAACAATTACGACATTCCTATTAAATACATTCACACAATAATTTTTGAACATAATTAAAAATATTGTATAACTTTTTTATCACTCAAATATGCAAAAAATTTGAGAGGAGTAGATAAAAATAACACAATTTCCTATGTTTAATACAGTAACTCGTAGATATATTTAAATGTTCTTTTTACCGGGTACAGCTATAATTCTAGTGAGATAATTTGAAGTAAGAATTATCATATATTAGAATAAAAATATTAGAAAAATAATTTTGTCGAAAACTAATAAATTAAACGATTTTTAAGGCTAAATAAAATAACTTTATTTAATCTCTTAGATTTCTTTATAAAATATATTTAAATTTAGTTTTTTTCTATTTTACTTTTTATTTAATATATAAGTAAATTATAACTCAATATTTAGAGAAAGGATTAATTTTAGAAAAGATGGAGAGAAATGACTTTTAAACTTAAATAAATATATTATTTAATTATTTGATTATAAATTTATTGGCAAACAATTAAATAGTTAATAGCTTTAGAAAAATTTTTTGTCATAAAAGAGGAAATTTCAGAAAGAAAATTTTCAATCCTGAAGGAAGAGATTTAATCATTTTAATATTTTTAATTTTTTAAATTAAATATTTATTAATTTAAAAAAAACTAAGTGAATAAAGAAAATCCCTGCAAATTATCATTCAATTTATTTATCCCTTTCTTCTTCATTTTTTAATCCTTCCCCAGACTTCAATTCCTTTTTTAGCTTAAGTGTTTTTCTCCAAATAAATTTTTTATCTTTAATAATTAAATACTTTTCCTGACCACCTTCCTCCCTTCCTTCTACCCCTCACCCTCACACTCACACTCACCCTCACCCATCCCCCTCCTCCCCCTCTAATCATTAAATAATTGGCTTTTCAATTCATCAATAAATATTTTTTAATTTATCAATTCTCGCGCAATTCTCTGCCTCTACGTCAACACATTTTTACTTTATTTTATGTTCATAGGCCAGTTTCCCCTAACAACATTTTTATTTATTTATGTACTAATACTATAATAAATATATATTTTTTATTTGTTAGCTATTTACATTTAAATATTAATAATATTAATATTAATACATTTAAATATTAATTTAATAATTTAAATATTAAAAATACTAAATGAATTATTAATTTTTTAATAAATATAAAAACAAGTAGACATTTTAATTTAATTAAGTTTTAATTAAAAAACGATTAACAAGTTTGGAAAAATAATTTAATTTTAACAAAATATATTTTAATTATATATTTTATTATTTTATTTTTTGAATTACAGATTTTTATGTTTCCGTTTTTATTTATTTATTAAATATAACAGTAAAAAATATCAAACCTCCTTTCCATTTAAGGTAAACAAATAAAAAGAGAATCAATCTAATTTTTAACAAAAATTTATTTAAATCCTAACTTCTATAAAATATTTATTTATTTTTAATTAAAATGTCATCTAAAAAGCCAAAAGGTAAATTTTTCGATTCTGTTAGCGACAGCACAATTGACTTGCAACAATTAAATATTTCTGACAATAATATTACATCAGAAGATACTAACAGTGAACAAACAAAAATAGTAATAATTTTTATTTAAATTATTTTTTGAATTAAAATAAAAATTATTTCCTCCTCATTTAACAATAAAATTAAATTTAAAAATATTTTTTTTAATTTTAATTAATTTTCAAACAAATATTAAAAGGCTGAAACAGACAGAACAATATTAGAAACAAATGGAGGAGTATTATCTCCAACACCTTCTCAATTTAAAATTTTAACAATAGAGGGAAATGGAAATAAAAAGCCTATTAAATCTTCAAATAATTCAAATGATGAGGATGATGATTGTTGGAATAATCCAATGTTGATAATTGTTCAATTTATTTTTCAATTATTTTATTTAACTTTGTCGAATATTCAAAATGATGAGCAATTTATTTTTGAAAATCAAGGTTATGGATATATAAATATAAAAAGAATTGAATTTAATAATTATTTAAATAAAAATATTTTAAAAATAATTATCGAAATAACCAATTCTGTCAGAGCAATTTTTGTAGTTCCAAATAAAGGATATAAAACACCATATTTTAATAAAGGACAATCAAATAAAAAAATTTATTATGTTGGGAAATCAAATTTTAGGGATGGAAATGCAGAAATAAATATTGAAGAAGATTTTGATAATAATTATAGAAAGGGAATTGTTATTTGTGGAAGATTAATAAATAAAAGAATTTTTGTGGTAATTTGGAAATTTAAATAAATAAACGAATTAATATTTTCTGATAAATATGTAGAGCTTTAATGAAATAATAATAATAGATTGGGCACAATTCATACATAAATACCAGGGATCCTGCCGACAAAAAAACTAAATTCTCGATTTCGGGAAATCGGGATCCCTACTTAAAAAATCGCGGGAATTCCCGATTTTCGGGAATTGGGACGGCACATTCCTGATACATACAATCATAATTTTATTATATTATTTTTAATTAAATTTATTTCATAAAAATTAAATTTAAATTAATTTTTATAGACATTATTTATAATTAAACCGCTCCTTCACAATAAATTATATATCGAACCAAAGGAGGTTAAAGAAGATTTTGATGATTTTAAATTAATGAACTTTGAATGGTTTTTGGATTTTAAAAATCAAAAAAATAATTTAATTAAAATTTGTTTAAAA